CTCTAAAACCAGGCTGGTCAACCAGCTAAAACCAGCCAACCAGCCTAGGCTGGTTTAAGCTGGATTTTTCAGCAGGGATGGTATTTTGATGTCTGATGGTAGCCTATGAATGATTTTCAAAGTACTAAAGTAGTCTATATTTCAATGAATACCGTGATATTTTCGCTGTAAATTAGCAAAAACATAGTATTTAGCGATATTTTTGGCGGCAGTTAACGTTACCATGGTAACGTTAACTATATCAAAAGCGATTCAAAGCAGTTCACGGTAACACTGCAGAATGACTAAATCCCTGGCCTTTAAGCTAATACTTCTGATTAAAGTACATTCAGTGACTCACCTCAGCTACAGTCTATTTTCTATAAAACAATAGATGTATGATTAAAGAGAGGCGTGTAGCGCGCTCTTCCTTCCTGCAGGGGGAGCGCGCGCGCCTCAAACGCATGCCTCTGTTATTTCCGGAGGAAGTGCCACCGAGTGACAGTTACCGTCGTTTAAACACAACAGACGCGCTAAACACAAACACAAGCAGAACAGCATCCTCAAATCATCATGATCTTCAGTAAATAACGCAGAGAAATGATGACATGGCCTCAAAGTCAGAGCAGCTGCTGATCGTCGTCTCCATTCTTGAAGGTAAGAGTGAGAATTAGAGATTTAAGACTCCAAACATTTGAATCAAAGCGAATACAGTGTCATATTAATGACAGCGAGTTTACATCAGATGTGTTTGCACAGTTATGACACTCTCAGTGATTCTAAAACTTAATTATAATATGTATCGTACAGATATTTTGCTAATAAAAGAGTCCCAAAATATACTGTGCTGACCTAACTTCTCCCTTCACTGACAGCATCAGTAACGTTAAGTTGCTGTATTTTAATGATAGAGGTAAAGTTGGTGTTATATTGGGATATTCAGATATTCTCCTTAATGTCAGAAAATTAATCTTTGCAAATTCTAGTTAGGGAAATCATATTAGCAGCAAATGACTATCAAAGTACAGCATGGTTCACAGTCAATTAGACAGTGTTCTCTGCGCTCTTTGCACTGGTTGCCTGTGCACTATCGTGTCACTTTTAAAATTATTCTCCTGGTTTTTAAATCTCTAAATGGCTTAGCTCCTTCCTACCTGTCAGACCTGTTGACTGAATGTAAAAGGGGGCACTCAGGGGTAGACCCTCGACCCCTAAGACTAACCCAAAGATGGTCTTCCCAATGGTAAGTATCCAAGTTAATGGACAGTGACAAGCAGAGTAATCACGGTTCAAGCAAATCCCAATTTTATTTCTTACATTTACTATTTAAAACATTGAGCTCAACATCACAATAAAAATGTTGCCTTAATTACACAGTGTTCCTAGTAACAAAAACACCAATTAAGGACACCGTCCTAACTCTGAATTCATAAGCGCTTAAAGCATCATCCCCACAAATGGACAGGTAGATGGATCAATGTGTACCCGATATCACTCTAGAACACCATACATTTAGCCAAAAAAAAAAGGAAATAGACGCAACAAAAAATCATAATAGACAAAATCAATACAATACACCAAAAAAATCCATACAACCATAAACCCACCCACAAATGGCATAAACCGAATCAATAAAGCTAGTTGGGTGGTGATTCTAGAACACAACCAAAAAAAAATACATAGCAATAAAAAAAACATTAAACAATATCAATACAAATACCAGAAAGACTATACCAATATAAATCCCACCCGCAATCAACAAAAATGAAATTGGTAATCAGTTGTTATTTCTTGGTTATTCAATGTGTCCCACTCCAGCATATAATAAAACCCAAATAGGAACCACTATGTAGGACCCCTAGATGTTGAAAACAAAATCATACACCTCAAACAAAACAAAAAATCAAAATATAGTAAATCATATACACCACAAACCACACAATTCAAAATATCACCGTCACACCAACCTTGGTTCCGATTGGGCAATACTAAGCAAATAAGTTAGTGTCACATCATCACTACAATCATAACAACGACACCAACTTCTAAAAATAATAATCATAAACTAATAATAATGACAACAGCAACCAAAGCAACCCATACAAAGAAAAAAAAGAAAAACGAAATGGAATAACACTTCGTACAAACTCACATCACTCAAAGCAAATAACAAACACACTAGGCTAAGATGGTTTCCGACGGCAACACTCGTAGATGGTTTGAGGACCTGTATAAATCATACAGCGAGCGCGCATGAATGAGGCAGCGCACATGAATTGGCCAAGGAGGATGGAGTCCGAAGCGCTTGCGTCTGATGTCCACACACGCACGCGTAGGAATGCCGTTCAGAGTAGGGCCAGATGCCACTTAAATTACAGCAAAGCAGCAGCTAGCAGACTCTGCAAAACAACAACATTCCTTAAAACTCTTTTCCCTTTTTTTTTTTTTCTACGTTTACTCTAACACACAAAACTTACCTTTGGAATAAACTCTACATTACGCCCATAAATTGGCCGCACATAATCAGGTTAATTTCAGACTGCCACCACTATCCTTAAAAGAAAAATACACTCATGTAAACTTAATAATCCAGTCCATCTTACTCACGGTTTCTAACATGCTCTACTCACTGGAGGGCTAGTGGAGAGACTCCCATCAACCGGTCCAAACAACAAAATGCCAACCCGAGACGGAGCGCGCACCTGCTCATATAAAGCCTTGACGTGATCGGCACGCAACGCACGCACCTAAAGGGTCCGCCTACCACATGAACATCAGCCTGGTCCAGGCCCGGATTAAGAACCCAGGGGCCCCTGGGCACATTGTCTTGTAAGGCCCCCTCCTGGCCGCACCCCTATATAGTTGAATATTTAAATAAAATGAATCTATAATTTGTTGCCCACACATTTAAATAAATGATATATAGTACATATGTATTTATAGTCTACAAAGATTTAACTTATTTTTTAAAGCATTGAATAAAAATACTAATAAAATACAAACACTGATTTACTGTCTCTCTCCTCCTCTCCCTGGATTTTCTCTACTCTTCTCGTGATGAAGACTTGATTATAAACCTAAAAGTATCTGAAATCACACACACTATACCTCTTCTCTCCCGTCTCTCTCCTCTTCTGGGCCTTTCTCTCTCTCTCTCCCTCTCTCTCTCCTTTTCAGTCTGTCTGTCACACGATGAATCCAGTCTGCGCTGCGCTGCCGTTAGCCTCCTCCGCCTGGTTAATGCTAGCTTCTCATCATTTAAAGTTACCATAACGTCTTCTTCTGTACCCTCATTCTCCTGATCATGGGTCTGTTTAAAGATGGTGTGTATGGAAAATGCCTCAATAAAGATGCCTCCTCTCCTCTTTCTCTCGCGTTTGCTAAATCCACTTGTCCACTCATTTTTGATCTATGACAGATATAACGTTACACTACAGTCCGCTCAGTTTAGTGCGGGTTATTACAAAACTGACGTTTCCGCGCTTGACCAATCACAGCATTCTGTTTAGTTAACGAAAAAAAGGCAGTTTAAATATAATAATAATATTAATATGTGATCGCGATTTTTTTTTTGCTCAGAGGAAATACAGTTGTCTGAGCAATATAGTTTTTGCAGAGAGGGAGGCGCGGCAGGTGCCTATAATAAGGCTAAACTTTATTAAATACCCACGAGACACTTGTGACTTTATATCACATTTGCATTATTTTTAAAAAATGTTTCCTTCCTGTTAAAAATAAATATATTTCCAATCTGATATGTAATGGGGAGAAAAAACGTAGCACGAGTTCAGCTGATGGTGGATTCGAACCAAGTTTATGATTAACGCGTCAAAAGATGATACTGTGCGCCTTACAAGGTGCGCCACTGCGGCTGTAATGATTAACTGCTCTTTACTCATGTTGTCTCTATCAATCAGGCATCGATGGGCGAAAACCCTTATAGCTTATTCCATCTAGATGCGCTATTTGCAATTAGCCAAAAAAGACACTCTGAAATTGTCTTTTTTTCTCCCTCCTCGCAGGGGCCCCTAGTGCGCATGGGCCCCTGGGCCCGTGCCCATAAGGCCCATTGGTTAATCCGGCCCTGGCCTGGTCGGTCTCTTCGGTCATCAAACCAGAGACTTTTATACATTCCAAAGTGGAGGCTGAAACGCAGGGGTGAGCGGGCTTTCGCAGTAGCTGCTCCTACTTTGTGGAATGCTCTGCCCCTCTGTATTAGGTCTATATCATCACTGTCTGTTTTTAAATCTAGGTTGAAAACTTTTTGATTTGATATTTTATCAGTGAGAATTGTTTGTTTTTAGCTACAATAACTAATAGTGAGATTTGGTTGTTTTTACCTATATTAACTATTTGTGAGAATTGTTTGTTTTAGCTATAATTTTACACTTGTTCTTTGTGATTTATTGTTCAGCACATTGGTCAACATTAGGTTGTGTTTAATAGTGCTATATAAATAAAATTGACATTGACATTAATCTTGTTAACAAGTCATACTGGCATGCTCATTCCGATCAAATATGCAAAGTAACATGGTAAACAATGTGTAGACTGCTAAATGAACCAATGTGCGAATATAAAACCAACTTCTGTTTTTTTTAATGATTTAAATAATTCAATTAAATTCAGCTTTATTTGTGTAGCGCTTTTACAATGTAGATTGTGTCAAAGCAGTAGGGTTGTAACGGTATGAATTTTTTACGGTATGATAATCGTCTAAAACAATACCACGGTTTCGCGGTATACGGTATTAAATAGTAATTCTCATAGCAAAGACCCTGAAAAGAATAAGAACACGTTTTTTGACTGAACAAAGGTTTTATTTCAACAAACTTTTGAAAGAACCATTTTAATAGAACTATAGAAGTCTTTTATAAAAATAAACTGAAAAATCTCCCATTTTAATAAATTAAATTAGAAGGAATAAACAAGCAGGGTCTTTTAAGATTAGACAAAAATAAACTTAAACTGTCCTTCCTTATAAGCAGGATAAATGGGAGACCAAAAGTGCAATACCAAGTTTATGGCTGTAAACATGTATTTAAAGCGTTGTTTTTTTCAGTCTAGGTTGTGATGAAGAAATGTAAGCATGTTGAGATTTTCAGGACTTAATCTTGACTGCTGAGGTGAGAGAATGTGTCCACTTGTACAATGAACAAAAAAAAAATAAATAAATAATGTGTCAAAGTCCAAATAAACATGGTGCAAATCCTCAGTAAAAAAATAGATATAAATATTTACTATACTATAAATAGTTACATAACGAAACTAGATTCAATATGGAACATCCTTAGGTTTTATGTGCCAGCATGGATATGATTGTCTGTGGATATGGATTTGGATGTGGTTGTATGCAATGCAGACAAACAGCTGCAAATTGATTTGCGTCTTTTGAAAACAGCAAGAGCAGCAGTTCGTCTTTGCTGTGTCACTGTTTTGTCATGTTTCTGTGCTGCTGTGCATGCAAAAGTACTTAGTATGAGAATTATTTCATGCAAAATTTTTTTTTTTTTGCGTTTTATTTAGCCGCGCAGAAATGTATGCCTATCTCTCATTCCGTGTTGTTCAAAAAGCTCAGTGTTGGTCCACAAACAAAAGTGAAACCTATGCTTATTGGTTGTGATATAGCGAGTTTGAACCAATCTGGGCATGGAGGAGGGACAATGCATCAATGTATTATGTCTGATTTGTCCGGAGACACAGTGACGAGCGTTTCTTTGTCAAATCAGCGTTGTCAAATTTTGATGACGTAACCGCACTGATTCCGGAGCCTCTGAAGGTCCGCGAATGTTATGTGATACAGCACTGGAAAGCTGAGATTCTCTTCTTTATGCCAATCTTTGAATTGTATGAATCGGATCAGCGGATCAAAAGTTATTAAACATTTAAGAGCAATACTTATTTTTAGCCGCGGGCGGCTGTCTTGGTCTTTAAGGGTTAAAATCGTTGATATGCAATTGTTCATGGTATGATAATCGTGCACGTTCAAATCGTGGTAAACCGTCATACCGGTATATTGTTACAACCCTACAAAGCAGCTTCACATAAATGGTCATAGTAACTGGATCTGTGTAGTTCAGTTTTTAGTGTTTAAGTTCAGTTCAGTTTAGCTCAGTTCAGTGTGGTTTAATCATTACTGAGAGTTCAAACACTGAAGAGCAAATTCATCGATAAGTAGCTTTTCAGATTCTGAACCATGCAAGCCAGTGGCGACAGCGGAGAGGGAACCAGACTCAGTTGGGCACGACCATTTTAATTTCTCCGCTGGCCAAAAGTCTTGTGCAGAGCTGCAGTCTCAGCAGTGGAGGCTGGAAGCTGGCCTCAGCAAAGACTCCCTGGAGCGTCACTGGAATCAGTCTCATGCTCTTCACTCCCTCATGACCAACAGCGCAGCAGCAGCTCAGGATACGGCCTGGTCCAGGATTATGGACACCTTGGGATCATCTCGTCGCTGGTCTTGGTTCCAATTAGTGACTCCGCATAATCTGAGGGTCTCGGGATGAGTATCCCCAGGTGGAAATGGAGAATAAAGAGAATAATTAGCGTAGCTGCTGTTCATAGTGTATATAAACAAGCTGTAGAAACTTGTGTGGAAACCCGCTAAGTGATGCACTGAGTGTATGCTTTACTAAACAGATAGGTCTTTAATCTAGTTTTGAACTGAGAGAGTGTGTCAGAGCCTCGGACGTTATCAGGAAGGCTATTCCAGAGTGTAGGAGCCATAAATGAGAAATAACTTCACTATAATGAAAAAAAGGTAACTGTACTATGTATTAATATAATGCTACAGTTTTTCTCTGTGGCTTTGGTGCATTTCTCACAACACTTTTTACATTTGCACAACAATTCATGCATTTAACGCAATTAGTTCAAACTGCAAATACTAGCTGCTCAAAATGGATAGCTCATTCCTCAGAGCAAGTACTGATGTCAATGAAAGTGTCAGTGTCAACAAGATGAAGAGTCCTGACACCATTGTTATGAACTATCTGTTTATGAAGATAGTCAAAAGGCTTTGTCATGTCTTCATTATGACAGTTATTATACTCCACATTTTTTCCAACGCCAAAATATGAGATTTTGGTGACTCTTCCTGAAAATGCTCAAGACAGCACTATATACTATTAGCACAGCCATTTGAAGACTACAGTAAAGTCAGACATCACTGCATTTAGGGAGGTATCTGTGTACAAGACACTGAAAATGTGTGTGTCACATGTTTACTGCATTTGCTCTTTAAAATTCTAATTTATTCACAGCATTGTGCAAAATAATAAACACAGCCTTATTTACAACAAACATACACTTCCTTTGATTTGATTTATTTATTTTCGAGCAAAAATATCATACATTAAATATCATTAACAAAAAATACATTTCGACATGGTCCGAAAATGAAGCGGGATGAAGCACAAGCTTACTATCTTCCCACCCCGTTACCACGTACATCATTCGTCTATTCGTTTTTACGTAAGACTTATACATGTAAATAGTGTTGTGAGAAATGCACCAAAGCCACTGAGAAAAACTGTAATATTACGGCTATATGATATTGGAAAAATATGACATTACGAAAATATGAAATAATGGTTCATTCATTTATTTTCTTTTTGGCTTAATCCCTTTATTAATCAGGGGTCGCCACAGTGGAATGAACCGCCAACTTATCCAGCATTTGTTTTAAACAGCATATGAATTGGGTAGGCTAAATTGTCCGTAGTGTATGAGTTTGTGTGTGTGTGTGTGTGTGTGTGAATGTGTGTGTGTGTGGATGTTTCCCAGAGATGGGTTGCGGCTGGAAGGGCATCCGCTGCATAAAAAACTTGCTGGACAAGTTGGCGGTTCATTCCGCTGTGGCGACCCCGGATTAATAAAGGGACTAAGCCGACAAGAAAATGAATGAATGAATGAATAAATACTCCTGTGATGCGACTTCTGGATACACACATTGTGATGTCGATGCTCAAATGATATATGGTCCAGCCCT